TATCGACATACACTGCATGCTGCACATGTCAATTAATATGAATATTTTATGAATTCTATTGAATTATAATTTGATTGGTTTTAACCCGAGTGTAATTTGAAAATCACCTTTTTGAAGCCGGGTACAATGTATTCAAACATTTTTATTTAGGTAAGGAGTGCAGTTCGAAAATTCCCATAATATGATGACAGCTGACGACACGGGTACGTTTAATCCATGAAAAAAGCAGTATACAATTTATAATACAATCAATAATAGTATAATACAAATTTAAGTCTAGGAAAAACACAATGCAATAAACACGTCAAGTTCCCAAATAATATTGTACAAAAAACATCCTCAATCGATTCCTAATAAGAGAAATAAACATAAAACTGAACGAAGATTTCATAAAAGCATAAACACAAAAAAATCCACTGAAAATAACAAAATTCGCACTGACACACTTGTTTTGACTACATCGTGGCATAAAACCAAACTAAATAGATATAATATAATACTTACAACTGTACACCCAAAATTCTCGAAAAAAGACTCAATAACAATATTTAGAACCCACTAAAGCATGCAATATCGACATAATATACCTAATAAAAACCAATAGAAGGAAGTCGAGAGAACAACAATAGTGCTACTTTAATTCGGCTTTTGTAATGCCAACCTTTTGTAAATAATTGCCAATTTACACATTTATATAAACATTGGGGCCTCCAAAAGAAAAACCTATTTTTATTTGTACAAAATACAAGTCGTTATTACAATACGTACTAATATTAATTTATTTTTATTTATTATTTTTATTATTAGTTGGCAATACGACCTGATATTTTTCGTTTTTTTTTTAAATATATTAACTACGTATAATTTCTTCTGAGGGGAACCAAAAAAAAAAAAAACAAAAAAAACAATACTTTGACTGCCGTATGGTGGACTACCCTAAACAATAACACAATTAAATATTGAATTTACAAAATCATACTATTATACGTTAGGTAATGATTTGATATCAATAGCAAATCACTATATTAGGCTAATATTATTATAACCTACATATTATATTATAATATATAATGTCAATGTTGGGAAAAAATAACAAACAATAATTTTATCTAGATAATTTTGAACACTGTCACTAATACAAACAACACTGGAATTAAATACGAAAAATGCAACAGGCCATACATAGCAGTATATTACTAAAAAATAACACACACTTAATGCCTAAAAATTTAACGGTATTATTATTTTACTGAACTCATTGCTTCATTCAGTGTGAGTGCGTTGTGCAGTACTGCAGTTCGACTAACATTTCGTCGATTTCGAGTTATTTATTTGTTGTAATTCCACTGTGGTGTTTTTTGCTATTATTTGTATTTAATATTAATTAATTGTAATAACGCAAAAATAAAAAGAAACGAAATAATTTAAAAGAATAAAAGAAATAAAAGAAATCACCTTAAATGTTAATACGACGCCTGCCGACACTAATATTTAAGATGATCTAAATTTACGTTATTACCTTCCTCCTGATCGTCGGAGGGTTCTCGAGATCGTGTGTTCGAGAATTTGATCAAATACACTTCTATGATGTAAATGTAAATGCATGCACATATAATTTAATATAAGGCAGGCAACAATACTATATTTTATATTTTAATATGTCTTACCTGACTCGCAGTTGTCACTAGGTTGGCAGTGGGAGTTTTAGGTGACACAAAATTAATTATTTAAAATACTCGAATAAAAATAAAGAAACACACTGATTATTGCTCGTCAAAAGGAGTCCAGTTGTCGCTCGTAGAATTCGGTATAGAGAGGTTGTTAATCTGTTTGGTGGTGCGCCTGCACTCGCGAGAGGCTGTTTCACTCGAGGAAGGTGCTCATGCACTGCCGAAGGGACGATCCGGTTGTGCCGGCCAGAGAGTGATAGGCGGCTTCATCAAAAGGTTGTTTTGTACATCCGATTTCTCTTCTGTGACAAGGACCTTTTTTACCATACCTTTTCTCCGGCGGCATGTAAGAAAGCCACACGTCCTACGCTCTACAGTTGCAAACATAGGTACGTGTCGATTTCTTAATCCCTGATCGTATAATATAATTAGACAATTTTGTCTGTGACAATAATTTATTGGGGTCTAGAGATTTCCGATTTCTACGTGTGACAGTCTGGCCGTTATTTATTTATTTGTTATATCTTAAATAATTGTTACAATGATGTGTGAGCATATCATTACATAATGATGACCAAGCCGAGAGACCTAGAGTCAAAATAGCCACATTTAAATAAATATTTTGAACAATTAATTAAGTTAATTTATTTTATCCATTAATTTTTAACTTAACGAAGTTATATGAGTTACATGAAGTACATTCGTTACCTTTAACTTAAACTAATTTACTTTTTTTATATTAATTTAATTTATCGATTAAAAAAAAAAATCGTTAACTTACCCAGCCTCGAATATCACAAACTATTAGTGACAGAGTAGAAGAGTAGATTAATTGCATATGATTCCACTACATTTGATTATAATACATTACTTAAACAAATCACATTTAAAAAATACAATTTTACAACTTATTTATAGATTATGTAAAAAACCATGTTAAAATAATTATGCATGGTAAAAAATATTTTATTATTGTATTATTTCATAAAATTTGTATTAGTGTGTATATGCTGATAATATTTGATTGTTAATAACATAGACAATTTACACGAATCTCACAATATATGAACAATATTATTGTGACGCATAATATTTATGGACGCAACTAAATGCAACTTGATGACAGGTAAGAAAAATAATACGGTTGAGTTGTGTCCCCACAATGGGACGCAAGTTACCTGTTGAATTTAGTACCTATAAAATTTACCTTTTTTGGGGACGCAAGTAGTATGCACTATGCAGCCAATGTTATCGTAATCTATTGCTCAACAAAAATCCAGTTAATGGTTTAAAACAAATTCCAATTCTCCGTCTGTGATGGTTTAGGACAACATGCTTCGTAGCACAGCAATAATACTGTAATTCTATATGATCAACATTTAATCCATACGATATACCTAATGAGTTATAGATCAAGCCACACTAAGGAATTTAAGAATCAAAATCCCCATATTTCCTCACAAGAAAACGCTCAAAAGGATGTGGAAGTCCTCAAATGGATAGGCCATATGGTGGTGAATGCAATATTGAATATTAGGTATAGTCTTTTGGATGTGAGAGAGGTGAATCTAGCGGGCAGCAACTCAGACTAATTCTTTGTAAAAGGTATACTAAACTCAAATCTAAAAATGATATATCATGAGTCATGACATTCATGACAATATATTTATAATATGATAACATAATATATCAAAAATAAAATACTATTTATTTTCATTTATTTATTTAATTATTTAAATGGCCATGAAGGTGTATTATAAAGGCTTATATAGGTGTATTTTATACAAAATATTGAAACTTAGTAAGAGCATTTTTAATTTTCTACAATTTAAGTATAATGTACACATGTTACATATACTTACAATAGTTTAAAATTAACGAAATTTCAAAGCTGAAATCATAATAATATTACCATAATATTATAAACCAACACAGGCAACTAATTTGTAATACCAAAAATTATGTAGGTACGTTGGATAGCACATTTTAATACTGTAATATTATATTAACCTAACTTACAGTTAAGAACTGGCGGATTCTCAAGGACATAAAAAGGTCACCCTCTTATACAAATGTTTAGCTGTGACAAAAAGGACGATCCTTGTTGTACGGTCAGGTATTAAGAAATCGGCACGTATCTGATTCGGCCAAACGACCGGGGGAGGGGGCATGTTTTACGAGAGCTGCAGTGATGAAAAAGGTGTTTTCTACTGAATATAATACTAGTCCTTGGAAACATAAAAACATTTGTTACAGCTACATGTGTTCAGAGGGGGTATAATCCCTGAAATCTTTCCACCTCGGGCATGACCGTAACGTGAGTGCACCATCGATGCGAGCGCATTAACATCATTCAACCAGTATTGAATCCTGTGATATCCTGTGAGCAATATCTTCTGGTTTCTTTACTTTTTGTATCCGACAATCTGTGCATTTATATTCGATTCATGTATATACAGTGAGTACTGCTTGTTGCTACGATCTTATTGCAGCTGTGAGCCAGGTAACATATATATTTAAATTATTATAGTAATTTTAATTTTTATGTACATCATTTTTATATACAAAACTGTTTCTCATCGTACTTGCACAATTCTCGAATACTCATTACCTCGAGAGCCCTCCAAACATTTGGAGAAAGGTGATAATACAATAACTTAAATAATTGAGTAATACTTTTATGTAATCATTTTTTCCAACCCTTAATAGTTTAGGAAAACATTGGGAATTCGGATGTATGATAAGTGCCTATAATTATTCGTTATTATTAAAATCATAAACGATTATTGTAAGAGTACATCTAACAACCTTGACCGTACGATATTTAAGTATAAAGATACATATTTTACTTTGTTTATTTAATTTAGCTTCTTAACAAACTGTTTTATATGTTAATATTTAATTTAAACTATTTAGTGTAAAAAATCACCATTTTTACTTACTTGATCATGTTCTTAATATTATGACCACCATATTCAACAAGATTACTTACATACCTACCACAAATAAACTACTTAATTCTACATGTCTCTAATATTATGCATTTCGTATTTTGACTTAAGACTAATAATTGTAGTGCTATTCACTCAAAAATAACAGAAGTTGCAGTTAGTTAAATGGCAATTGCAATGAAGTCATTGTTCAATATGATTTCCTAGACCTATTGAAAATTACATAAATATAATGCACGTGGAAAAAATTGAGAAAAAAAAGAATAAATAAATAATAACGAGATCAGATAAGCCTAATTATGTGGATCAATTTCTGTTTTGAATAATTTTTTTTAATTAACATAAAATCTAAATAATTATGATTAAATGTTGATTATAGGTTCGTTTTCCATTCTCGGTATTCGAATTGTATTGGTATAATATACCCATACTCTAAGCCTTACAATTTTGTAAGTAAGTATAGAATTCTTAATTTATTATTTTATTATTATTTCACACAACTAATATATTATTGTGTTATTTATATTCACTACAGTTTTAAATTGAATAATATCTATTTCTAATCATGTCTCAAGTTTATTTTTAAATACTCTACAGTCGTAATTTAACTAAGGGTATAATACATCAGTCCTTATTATCGACTATTAAATATTAACAATGAATTGATAATGACAGAAAACAATTGCTAACATTGGATAGTTATAAGTTTTTTTTTATTGTTAGTTATTAGTTATTTACAATATTAAAATTAAGTAATATATTAACATTTAAGAATAAAAAATTATAAAAAAATTGTATTGTTATTAGTATGCTGTACTAGCTATAATAATATTTCATTAGCATGAACTACATTACTGAGCACAATTTAATGATTTTAATTCAATTTAATTGTAATACACCAGGATATACTTTATCTGTAATATTATGTTGTATTATTCGAAATCTTCGAAATTATATTTTCCTACAGATGATTACCCACTTTAAATCTTTTGTTCATCTCTAAAATAATTATTATATGAAGTTACTGATAACTACTTATGTATCTATTAAAGATTGTAAAGTAATACATAATAACGAAATAATCAAAATGAGCTTCAAATTCTTACCTAAATATAACGATAATTTTTTTTTTAAATTCCTGTACCAAATTATGATTTTATGTTTTAACTATAGGATATAAGTACAGTATATTTGAACCAAACAATTATTTTTGTATAACCTTTTTGTCATAAAATAATCATTAAATATGGGAATATTGTAATTTTTTAATATACTTTACACTAGGTATACCATACGTTATAATTTAAATTATAATTCATTTTAAACATATTTTTTTATTTAAACTTAAATATCTATCATTTTAGCTCAGTAATGATTATAATATGAATAACTTTTCACATTTTTTTTAATAATAATTTTGCTAATTTTATTAATAATATTTTAGAATATTGGATTTTAAAACAGTGATAGATATTATGTATATTTTATAGTTTGAGGTTATATAAATTGCAGTACAGTTTATCAGTTTATACTGAATCATAACATAAACGTTTATTCAATTTGCTACATATTGTAATTAAAATACAGGAAACTATAAGTAGGTGAATTTCTATCATATTAATCCATGGTATTATTATTTTTAGATTCGATCTTTGACATAAAAATACAATGTTAGGACTAAACAATTATAGTACTAAGTTACTTAATAACGCAAGACTTTTCAATAATGGCAGTGTCATACGTCTACGTTCAAATACTGCTACATCGTCTTTTGAAATAATTCAACGAGAGAGAAAAGTGTCTACAAACAATTATAACCCTAGCCCTGTGGTTATTAGCAGGGGAAAAGGTATCGTTTAATCCTTTCACCTATTAGATAAATAAATTCCAATCAACATAAAAAAGTCAAAAAACTTACATTACCTATTATTATTTTTTTATATATTTTATTGTAAGCACATTAATTAATCATTACTGTCAATACATTTTTATCTTCCACATTTTCAGGAATTTTTATGTGGGACGTGGAAGGAAAAAAATATTATGACTTTGTGGGAGGATTTGCCACCCTCAATCAGGGTCACTGTCATCCAAAAATTATTAAGGCCATGACAGATCAATTAAACAAACTTCATCACACGTCAAGAGCTATATTTCACGATTCGCTGTATGAACTTAATGAGTTCTTGACTGAACAATTTGAATATGAAAAAGTTTTGAACATGAATACCGGTAAAGTTTATTTATTTTGATAACCATGTTGTGTTATGTAAATGTTGAATTTTAATTAAACATTTTACAACTGACATAATCAAATCAATATCGACCATCAAGTATTATTTTATTTTTAGTTACTCAATTAATTTTACTCGTATTTATTAAAGGTGTTGAGGGAGGAGAGTCTAGTATCAAGATTGCTAGAAAATGGGGATATAGGGTGAAAAAAATTCCACACAATCAAGCTCAAGTTGTATTTGCTCATGGTAACTTTTGGGGGAGAACAATAGCCGCCATTTCTGCATCCACAGATCCAATTTCTTTCAACGAATTTGGACCTCACGTTCCTGGTTATCAACTAGTGCCTTATGATGATTTAGGAAAATTAGAGGTAAATATGAGAGAAAATTAATTATTGAATAATCAACTTGTTTTTTTATATTTTGAAATAATGATCATTTTTTTAAAAGAAAACTGAAGTATAATTTACGGTTATTATTTTCATTGGCTTAATCTTAATGTATAATTTTGAAAAAAAATATTTTACGTGTACTAAAAGATTTTTTAAATATATTTTGTTCAATGTTTCGATTATTGTTATTCATCAGTTATTAAAATATTATATTAACGTTGTGACATAATTAGCATAGAAAAATGTATTATACAGATAGTTATTGCTGTCAAAATCATAAATATTTAAATTATTTGGTTAATTTAATGATTGTATTTTAGTATTTTAGAGATGGTCCGACTAACCCTTGTTACGTCCAAGTAAATTAGTGTGTGTTTATGTAAAACGATACGAGGGACTATGGGTGTGCATGAGTGTTTACGAGTTAATGCGTTATGGTGTCATTCAAGGGTGATTATTGATTTTATATAATTACCTGTAGGGCCTAAAACATGTATATACGATAAGTCTACTACTTAGTTATATTTTGTGTCTTATATGTGTAAATACAAATGTAATATAAAATAATTAATTCACTCACCTGAGTACTTAGATGTATTCGTGGATATGTCTCAACGCTGTTGAGTTCGATGCTCGGAGTCACTGAGACGTATATAATATACGTATATATTATTTGTTTTAATTTATATATTTAATTCCTAGACACCCAGAATATTGAGAGATATTTTTTTCATGATGATGAATTCTCTATGTATGATATTATTATGATTCGAACACCAATTACATGGATTTGATTATTATTAATAGATTCGTGACTATTATCGTAAGTTCTTAAAAATCCCTAAACTCGTGAATCTAATTCCTGCCGATTGACACCCGAATGCAATTTATGTTGACGAGCATTGTTAATATTATAATTATTAAATTCTAAACTAAATACTGCTCTAGTCCCTTTATTTGTTGATGGGTATCGTTAAGACGTAACTTTAAGGTATTACGAGTTATGCGTTTATTATTTTATATTGGACGATGCAACGTAAGTACGGCTAGTAGAGGCTTATAGAGTCGTTTTACGGAGCTACAGATCATACAAAGTGTGTGGTGACGTTGATTATTATGAATGTGTTGTGCATTTGATGCTATGTGCATAATGGATTTAGATGTATATACCAAATGTGTATGTTTATGTATACTGCATGATCTCACATTATCTATAATAATCTTTCGTTATTAATTATCATGTGTTTTGTATTTATGTATATTATGGAAATATTTTATACCACAGAAATGAGATTTGTCTTTCATTTATCGCATCATTACCAATACTCTTTATCAATATTTTTTGATAGGATATAGATTTTAGTTTTATTTTTATATTTTATGTTTTTTATTACTGCTAACAAAGATACAATACGGTTGTAATCATAGTATGTAGTGAACTAGTGACCGATGGTTTAATGCTTAATTTGACTTTTCTTATAGCAAGCATTAAGAAATCCAAACGTGTGCGCATTTATGGTAGAACCATTACAAGGCGAAGCAGGAGCAGTGGTCCCTACTCTAGGCTACTTGAAGGGAGTTCGTGAGCTTTGCACAAAATACAATGTCCTTTGGATTGATGATGAAGTACAAGCTGGATTGGGTAGAACCGGAAAAATGTTAGCTGTTGATTATGAAAACGTGAAACCTGATTTGTTGATCCTAGGAAAAGCACTTTCTGGCGGAGTCTATCCGGTGAGTATGATTTGAAAAACGTTACCTACATATTTTTGAAGCCCTATAAAATAAAATAAATTCACACAATAGGTTTCTGTGGTATTGGGTAACAGTGAAGTAATGGATGTCCTTACTCCTGGTACACATGGTTCCACATATGGCGGAAATGCATTAGCGTGTAAGGTCGCGCTGGCTTCACTAGACGTAATCATAAGCGAAGGCTTGGTAGAAAACGCATTTAAGATGGGCGAGATCTTCAGGACTGAACTCACTGCTCGTTTGGACAAAGATAAAGTGATTCAAGTCAGAGGAAGAGGCTTGCTGAATGCTATCATATTAAATACAAGTATGTTTTCATTTAACATAAATATTGATATTGAAAAAACATAATTATAAATGTTAAAAAAGTATATTTGATTCGTGTATTAGGTTGGCATAATATTTGTATTTATTACTGAAATATTCTATATATAAATATTTTTTTTTCAGTTTAAGTGAATACATTTTCGTTCTATGAGTTTGCTTATATTTTATGCGTTGCAGAAGTATGATTGCATACATATATAATATAATATTCAAATGTTTGACGTGCAAGATGTAACTAATGAACTATTTAAATGTGCTTTAAGCATGGTGTTATAGAAAATAATAAAATATCTTATCATTTTATCATTCATTTTTACCACCTATAATAATCAAAAATTGTATGAGTTCAAAACAATTTAGCACATACAATTGTCAATCAATACACGAGATTCGTGTTTACCTGCAAACAATCAATATAAATTATATTTTAAAGACTTACATTTCTTGTTCTGAAATTAAACATACAATAATGTTTTAATTTGTATTACATTTCCAGAAAGCGTAACCAATATCTACAAACTAAACAATGAAATGAAAACAAATGGATTGATATCTAAGCCTATTGGATCAGATGCATTGAGATTTTCGCCACCATTAATACTTACAGAAGAACAATTACGTGAAGGAATTGATATAATTGTAAACACTATAAATAATTTTACTAATAATTATCTTTAATGTAAAATCAAAAATGATGTACTTTTCATAAATTAATTAATTCATTACATCCAAACATAACATAATTATTACTATTGTATAAATTATAACATGAGAACTAAAGGTCTGTAGTTCGTACACATTTTATAAATATCATTGAACCCGTTAGAATTTATTATATCACAATAAACTTCACAATATTAATACTTACGTCTCTTTGTGAGTTATTTTGTTTAGCTACCTATTATACCTAATGGATGATATCATGTTATTATACAATTAATTTTTTACTAATGATTGTAAGTTCAAAATAATATAACTTAAAATTAATAAATTGATTTTTGCAAATATTATCAGTAGGTACTTAAGAAAAATATCTAGCTATACGCTTACATGGACATACTTAACACGAAATTAAAATTAAAATTTTTATGAAACATAACTTAAAACAATAATATTTGTAGATTATTACTTGCTGAAAATATAAGAATAAATTAAAAAAATTAAATACCATTCTGCTGTACAGTAGGTGTCTAAAGGGGTCGATGTAAAGGATGAGTTAAGTTTGAATTCAATGATATAAAATCATTTTATAGGTATGAAAAAAAATTTTAAAAAAAATGCATTTGTCATTGCAGTGTTAACTCTTTACTGTAAATTATGTGTCTTTAGAGACTAGAGAGTCACTGTAATGGATATGTTCAATTTAAATTTTACAATAATCATTGAAGGTATACGAAAAACACTTCTGAACGAAGACTGTTTGTGAGTCTAATAGTACTAAGTTTATTGTATGCTATTATTGTGATTAAAATAATTGATTTTTCTATTTAGCATTGTAGTACTACAGTAGATTATTTGAATTTTCACCAGAAAAAATGAATATTTTGAACATTTGAATATTTCATTGTATGTAGAAATAATAATAATATACTTACTCTATAAGTCTCATGTACCAACGAATAATATTCTAAAATTACCACAAATTAACTAAAGTCGTTATTCTTGGTTTTAATTTTAAATTTTCGTAAAAATTTGAACCCAAAATGTCTGTAAAAAATAATTGTGATTATATATTTTTAGATTTTTTGGTTACAGTATGATCTCTTTATAAGAATCACTATTTAAATTTGTCCATTCTTAGCTATACAATTAGAAAATTATATAGTTTTTTAACTATAAAATAATTTTAGAATTTTTGAGATTTTTATAAACTTGGTAAAAATTTTAACTTTAAATATCTATAAGAAGAACTCATAGCTACGGATATTTAAAATTTCTCAACTACTATTACAACTACAAAGGACCTTGTATTACATTTTCAAATCTTAGTTATAAAATAAATGTATTATTTTTTATGAATTTTTAATTCAAATTCATTTCCAAATTTTGTCCAAGATTTTGTAGAGTGCTGTTAAATTTCTTATTTTGGATACTCATAAAAACTTAATCTGGATTTTAATTTAATTTTTTTTTTCACTAACAACAACACTTTTTTATTTAGGTTTTTTAAAAACCAATAAATTTTAATCGACAATTTTATTACTTAAAACAACTAATAAAAATCAAAATATTTTTAAAATTGTGTGGTGTATACAAATGCTAATGCAAACATCCGGTTAAAAGCTTACGAGCCGATACTTTTTTCTTTATCAGCATAAATATTCAGTTAAAATAATATATCTACGGTTATTTAGAAAAAAATAAAATGTAATGGAAAAGTTTTAAGTCATCACAATAATTTTAAATGACAATAAAATAGTTAAAATTATTGTTTTTCGTTTAAATTTGAACTTTAAATGCTCATAAAAAAATATAATTTCATTGTATCTTTAATATTTGTTCGTATTAAATGAATAAGTATAAGGTACATTTAAAAATGATTGTTTTTTTTCAACATTACTTTTTTTATTGTGTTTGAGCTTAATAAACCATTTAAATAAATAAATAAATAATAGCCTAATTAAAAAAAAAAAAACACTGTGAAATGCTTATAAATTTCTAAAAAATCGAAGAAAAATTTTGAAAATTAAAATATAGGTGTATAGAATACTTATTTCAACATTTGATGAAAATTTCAATTGCAGAATAAATAAAATATCATGCACATTTTCGTTACTTGAATGAATTTCATCATAAGTCCGTGAGGAGATGCGTTATCAAACCATTATATATGAATTCTTATTTATCGATGCACATAATATCGATATAGTTAATTTTTTCTTATATACAATTCATTCTTTCAGATATTTATTGCAACTCTGGCCTTACGGTCGTCCATGTCATCACACTCTTCCCTGAAACACGCTTGGGTAAATAAAGTTAAATTATAAGGCCCCGCCCAAACTAGATTATTATTATATTTCTGTGACTAGACAGATATTTGCAATGAGAATATCGTTCAAGAGCATAACGACAACGGCAAAAAATAACACGCAGGAAGTTAATAAAATATTATACAATATTGTTGATACATATATTTAATTTTATTTTTGTAAAGTATTTCAATAAAATGTAATTTATAAATTTAAAAAAAACCATATGATTACCTGAATTATTGATTTTTGAACTCTGAATGGACTTGGTATAATGTTATACGCGAAGGGGAAATACTGCTGCTTTTAAAACTATTTGTTAAGTCTTTACATAATAATATAGTATTATTCGAATAAAAATAAGTGATTAGTTTGGATTGCGTAGGCAGGTTTATGGGAAATAAATTGCAAACTTGTGTCTAATTTTAATTTTTAGTTTTTTGCATTAACTTTAAGAATTTAGAAACAAAAGTGCACAATTAAAAAAGTTTACTTTTAACAAAAATTTATAAATTATTATCAGTGATATGTATTTATTACAACCAAACGATGAACACAATTGTTAAATTAAATTTTAAATCAATTTTTCATGCCAAAGTATAATTGAGAAAAACTTGTTAAGTTACATACTACTTAAGCTGTCTACATTCTTTGTTTTTAAAATTGTACATTATTTTGTGGCTTAGGTATCTACATTTTTTTAATCTGATAAATGTATACATTTTCATTGATTAATATTTTATGTAATATAGGTACTATGCATGTTGTTTATTATTTTATTGAAGGCTATAATTTAATATTACATTCGTGTTATTGGAATCGTGACCAAGTTATTCGCTCGCTGTATAGGTAGACAATCCTCTATGATTGAATTAACTAGCTTACTAATAATGGCTTCAACTATTATATAAGGGTCATGCGCTTTAAATCCCATAATACACTGTCAGTGGCTATTTTTTTTAAAACCTTATTTGATAGTAGTTGAGACTTAGCAATGGTCAACGAGGTTTATTCTCGATAGTGTATCAATCATTTTTAATAAACAATACTCGGTTTTTCAGTTTTTCAATATTTATTTTGTACCTACCTACTGTAAATAATTGCACACAAGCACATCCATCTGTACACTGAATTAAATTAAATTGGTTGTATTGATATTTATTGTGAATTACCTCAATACAGTAATAATGAATAACGATCAAGGTGACGGAGATATAGGGATGCAGGAAGAAGTGACAAAACAAAGAATTTTGGCCCAGAAAAAAGAAAAAAAAGTATGTACCTATGCTATACATAATAAACAAAGATTAAAAAACATTGGTAAACATAACATGGAATTAAAGATTTATTTGTTGCAACTATATTATGCATTTTTTTTTAAAAGTTTTTATTCAAAATATTTCTTATGAAGTAAAACGGTTATAAACAATCAAGTATCTGTTTGAAGTTTTTGTTTCTTATAAATTTCGACATTTGAGTTATAACTTATAAATGTGTTCCAAAAATGTAATGTAAATAATCTAAAACAATGAAATTTTTTTGAATGACTGTCTTAAATTAAGATGTCTTACATTTGATGAGCACCTATTGACAATTGATTGACTGTTTATAATGAAACAGCACAACATAACGTTATTACGATAATAATCGTCTTAAAAAATAATAAAATATTTACATATATTTATAATATCTGGTTAGGTATAGGTCTTACCTATATTAATTATTATGATCATAACAGTTCTTAATTTTTTTACAGATAAAAATTATTCGAATTCTGACCGTAATCGCATACTTAGTGTCCGTGTCTACCGTTGCCACCATGTTATCTGCATATTATGTTTTTATTTGGAACCCACACGCTGGTAATTCCACTCAAACTCCCAATGCCGAAAGGTTGGTTATGGCGTTACAGAGGGCTAGTGGTGAATACGTTTTTGCTAATATTGCTGATCACGAATATACAGGTAAAAACATGGGAAATTATAAGTTCTGTAAAATGCACAACGTTTTTTTAATTGATTTTTATTTAATACATACTGTCTTTGATACTAAAATTGTTTACGACATAATATTGCACTAAAAATAACATTTATGATACCCTTGCATACCTATGGGGTATGGTAAGAACTCGGGCCTATATGCTTCGATACACTATTATAACTGAGCAAAAATATCTTTGTCTATATCATTCATATAATTTACTCCAAAATTAGCTAATGAATACCAATAAAACATACATATAAATCATAGCAGGCCAATATAACAACGGTGACTAATATTTTATTATTTTTTTAATATAATATTTTGTTCCTTCAAAAATAATTTTAAGAGTAGACAATTGAAAAATGACAACGTTTATGTATAAATCACAATTATCTACATTGTTATAATAATTGGCAAACGGATAGTATTACATAACTAAACATGTTTAGTTCATCAAACCAATACGTTATACAATAAATAAAGCAATAAAATGTTCTGAAAACAAATCGGAATTTTTTAGCATGTAACTTAGGATCAAATTCTACACTTTTTTAAAACTTTTTTAAAATTTAACCTTCACTTTAATTGTTTTTAAGAACTTTTCATAAATTTAAAACATTGAGTATATGTAATTAAGACAAAAAAAAGGGAAGTAGAAGAGGATGTCTCCTCCGTACAGTATTGGTAGAGTGTACCTACCTCGGAATTGAGCAAGTCACTGTGTGGTACGTGTCAAATTTTAATTCAATAATAATATTATATTCATTGCATAAGTACGAAAAACGATTTTGAGTAAAGACGGTTTGTCAATTGTCAGTATATATTACTAAGTAAATTGTATGATATATTTACATTGCTATTAATTTATTTATTTTACTATTAGTAATACGGTACCTACGTTGAATTACATTGCATTTGAATACGTTATTGTGTATATAACGTTAATATAACGAATAACGATAATAATGTACGTTAAAAGTGTCCAGTATTCACGAATACAATTATTAACTGACAACAATATAACTAAAACCGTTAAGTATTCTACTCCTAAATATCTAATTTCGTCCAAGTTTGAACTTAAGATGTCTATAATAAGTAGTGTATACCTAATATTTGTATGTTCACAGTCTATTCGTTTTTTTAATTACACCATATATCCAAGGGGGGATGGCCGCATTAAAGGACAACGTTTTCACCATATTACTCATCACAGGTAGATCAGAGATTATTCATTCGTTGTCGACCTTTTTGTTGCTCACACAAAAATATTTACTATGTTTTATTTTACAGCAAGATTTCACTTTTTTTGTCCACCAATTTTTTCTCGCACAAAATATATACTGAATTTTAAAATTACAGAGAGATTGTACACACGAAATAGGTTTTACCACTTACTAGAAAATATTTATCGAATACATAACAACTTTTTTATTTATTTAAAAATGAAAAAGTGAAGAAATAATTCCAAAGTTAAATGATGAATTATTGAATTATAACTATTGATGAATTAGTCTTCAGAAGTCAAAAGTTTTATCGAATAAACTTATCAATCGGTACAGCTAGATATAATTATGTTTAAAAACCAAACATTTTGATCGTAGACAGTGTGTTAGTTAGATAATGTTCATGTGCATGTGGAAGTTATATGACATTGTAATGATATTATAAGGTACCATAAACGATAATAATTTATAACGCACATAGTCACATGGCTATTATGCAAATACTCTTCATATTATTTACTATGATATTGAACTCTTTAAAACGGACTTTTGCAATCCACTTAAGTGAGAAGACCAAAAAAAAATGTCATGTGATATAATTTTGTTAAATAATTTAATATTCTAAATTATCATTAAGGCATAAAAAAATATTTTAAAAACTGCTGAATATTTAGGATTGATATTCAAGAATGAAAAATAGTATGTGTGCCATTACCTATGATTTAGTGTTGTTCATAATTGTTTTTACAAGAGTTAGTGAACCATTTAGTACATACGTGTGTAATATAATATTATAAATACGATAGTAAATAATTAAAACGGATCGTTAATTGTTCATGCATAATTATTTTGATTATGATGTATAATGGTTATATTTTAAAAATTACTTAGAACAATATTTTGTCTTACACTCACGATCAGGAATTAAATAAGTGCAGGTATTTATTTCCCCTTTTATCCTTGTACCCACCTTCTAAATTCGTTTAATATTCATTATTATAAAGTTTCAATAATAGTCTAGGGTTAGTTAAATTATTAAATGTATTAAAAGTATACATTTTTTAGGTTTCTCATATAATATTAATTTATTTTTTAGTTAATTATGATTTATTAATTTGTTCATTGAATAATTAAAATCATGTTTAGTAAAGATAGGCAATTAATAATTATCATGTTGATTGCAATATATCATAAAATCTTTTAAAGTCTTGTTTTTTAATATTTATTTAGGTTGACTTTTCGATACTTATAATTTATTTTATTTCATCTTATTTAAAACTTAAAGTCACCAAATGATGGTGTTATAATACCTATAGTTATACTTCATGTTTTTCAGTTTTCATTTCCATAAAAATGAATCGATATCTATCCTTGTAGACACTAGACACTAACATAAAAAGTTAATCTCATAATTATTTCTTTATTAATATAAATTCGATCACATTATGTATAACCTAGTCATTACATTATAAACCGTTAATATAATTTTATTAACTTACCATGTAACTCAATGCTGTTTCATGTTTCATATCCTTATTTGATATTTATGATTATTTGTTTTTTGTCAGATAATGGGAGATTCACGTCTGAAGTACCAAATAGTCATAAGAACAGCGATGAATCCAACAATCCAGAAAGGTCTATTAAATTGCAATCATCAACAATCAAGTCGTCGACATCTCGCATTCAAACGTCAATCGGTAACATTTCAGAATCATTAACTGTGGGGAAGAATTTATCATAGCCTTAATGCAACATATTATTATTGTTATTACATAATATTATATTTCAATTTATTTTCAATTTTTGATACGAATGGAAAAAAAAAATAGGAACATTGTTTATAGCGATGACGAGCACATTTATGATTCATTTTATATCGCAGTATTAAAAATAAAATAGTACTATCAATCTGCATAATTTTCAAAAAAAAAAAACAATTTAACACGAAAAAACTTTTGAGCAACATTATTGTTCACATCATAACTTTAAGCATATGGTTATGACATAATATGGAGTGTTTATATTCGTACAAGTTTCTTGGTTTACTTTTTCACCAAAAAAATCGGTCAATTGTTTTTGTTTTTACTATCAAAAAATCTTATTTATCACTTTTAAGTTTTCACCATATACAGGACTTCAAAACTACGATTATAATACTACGCCGTACGTTTATCAGTTGCCTATTATTTTCAATAACTATTGTTTTTTTTTTTATGGGTATTATAATTCCTAGAAATAATCAATAAATTACTGTTTTTGATATTATTCTATTTAAAAGATGGAATCTACTTTATTTTTACCTAAAGATAAATATTTTTATAGTTTTTCTTCTTATTCTTGAGGTCAGCTTCACGTACTCACGTACCCTCGGTGAAATGCTCCACTTTAATGGGAAACAAATAATTCGACCAGTAAAAATACTATACCTACAAATAATAAATGCATAGTAGTTCTACCTCCCATTAAATCCTTCCATGCCACACATCGTTTTTATATAATTGCACGCAGGGTCTACAGTTTAATTTAGATTTATATGTACATTCAATTTAGTATCTTAATATTATATTACACGTACAACGTTGATATTTCTATAGCTATATCGTTGTAAGCTGTTACATAATTGTCTAGAATATATATTAAAATCAATGTAATACTTTATTTTACATTTTGATATTATTATAAAAATTAAAAATATTGAATTTATTCGAAACTAACAAATGTTTTATATTTTATTTATCAAACAATATAAAAATATCAGAATTTAAATGATACGTACCAACACAAAAACAATGTGACGTGAAAGTGATTTCATTGTTGTGAATTGTAAATCCAATTTATGAAAATAGTTATTTATGATAAAATAACAAAATTATTTTATAGCATAGTTTCACAAGAAATAGAACCATCTAAGCTATAAGCCTGTCATAAAAACCAAATTTATGTGCACTGTAAATAATTAAACTATTTTGATGTTCTATTTTTTTTTTTTTTTTATCATTAATACAACAAAATGGCAATGTTATTTCTATAATACTATTTAAAAATACATTATTTTTCAAACTTAAATAACTTTTAAATTCTGAATGGAGCTACACGTGTTTAATTTTTACAATGATTTGTATATTTATATTTTTGTGCCAGAAAATACTTTTTACAGTAGGTATGAAAAATGATTCGAAGAAAATTGGATTAAATTTGTATTATAGGGATTGAATAAAAAAAATTAGCAAAAACAAAAAAACTAACATAATTAAAATACTATTATTAAAACAATTGTTGATAACCTTGATTAACAATAAGTTAGATCGTTTTCGATCAGAATCGTTTTTCATACTACGGATACAATTGTTTTAAACTGAAATCAAATAAGTGTCAGCCTATATTGCCAATGTGGTCATAGCGAGCAACCGGGGCTTTTAGTTTGTTTTTTCTTAGGGTCTAGTTTACTTTTATTTGCTTGGCTGCTTGGCATGTTTATAGTTTATATTATATGGAGTAGGGACCGAATAAAGTATACATCAAAATATTCAACTACACTTAACTTTTAAGCAAAATTTTTGATTACTGGGACCTAAGATTGATCATTACGGGGCCCCTTAAAAACCTATTTATGAGCCTTTGATGTGCCAGAACAACAATGAATCAAATACATCTACTTCATTGAGTTACTCAGTACTCAATTACGAGGTACACTTGAAATATTTTATTATACAGAGTTTACATCAATGCTACGGCTACCTACTTGACGGATTTTTTTGTACATTAATGAAAAGTATCAAAACATTTAAAATCATAAATACTGTTTACTGCAGCAGTCACAAATAAATAATTTGAAGTGCTAAATTTGAAATTTTGAAATTGTTTGAGGGCTAATAAAATTTCAGACGTCGGTAAAAATCATTGAACAAAAATGATACATTACAACACTGGAACTCTATTGTACCTATTAACAGTTTTTTTCTTGAGACCGCATACAATTTGTCCACGGGTTGCTATTAAGTGACCCCTGGACTACTGTGTCGTGTATAAGTATTTTTTCTCAACAACATGGACTACAACTTGATAAATAATTGTTCACATGAAACGTTCCACAAACAATTTATGATTGAAGGTGTCGTATTTCCTTGAAAACAAAGTTTTATTTTGTAATCAAGTGATTTTACGTTTTACAATCATTCCAGTTAATTCAGCTTACACAGAATAATAGTGGTTTGTAAATGTGTACAACAATAACAAATCTTAAATCATTTAACAACAATATTATTCCAGCACACAGTTAAATTGTTAAAGTACGAGTTTATAACAGCGTATATATAAGCATGTATCTAGAAAAACGTTATTGTGCCCTCAGTATACCCGGGGGCAGTTACACCTACCTGTGTAAAACAAAATTTACTATTATTTTTTTTTTATTGCAGTTAGAGTTTAAGTCTACCTTGGCATTGAGTATATCACAATATCCATGTGAAATCAATGGACATCATACAATACAAAAAACGATTCTGCACAGGAATGACTTGTCAGTCTTTATTTAATAGTTTGTTTATATTGCTTACTACGAATTACTACTAGAAATTATTATTTTTATTTATAATACGATAAGTTGAATTTATTTTTGCTGAAATCGTAAATCATTATTTTAATATAACATTTGTTATTATTAATAACTTAGGTACCCACATATAAGTCAAATTTTATTACAGACAATCTATTTTTTCCTCAGTTAGCTACAACTTACATAACTGATATAGAATTCAATCTATTATACATTATAATTTATAATATAAAAAATAATTAATGAATCACTATGATTATCAGATATTATCCTAATATTATAATAAAGGCGTCCCCAGCGCCGAGTACAAAGTAAGATATGACCTGAAAAGGTCGGTGTGGTCAGGTCCTCCAGGTTTTGGGTTTGGCGACGGGCTTACGATCCGTCACCAAAAAAACTACTGTTAAGAACCACAGTCAAAAAAGCCTTGGAGGCCTGTATTACCTTGAAATTTTTTTGGAAATATAAGGAGATTAAGATCGCAACTTGGAACGCACTGAAATTGTATCGCACTAGAGCTTGTCACAATCTAACTGATGTACTGATGTAGTAAAAATTACTATGTAACAGCTGCAGCACTACAAGAGCTGAGATGGACTAGTACGGGACAATTAAAAATAAACAACTGCCCTAACCTAAAATAACCTAATCACTTTGGTACGGGTTTCGGTTTACATAAAGACCACGAATTTGTGTGAAAGAATTTTACGCAGTGTCTGAAATGCATATGTACGATACAACTGGACACAAAACATCTGAACACATTTATAATTAACATTCATGTCCCCACTGAATATAAAGAAGACAATACGAAGGAGAAATTCTATGAAGAATTAACGGTGATCTATGATATTGAACCCAGAAATACGGTAAGAATTGCCATTGGGGACTTTAATGCCAAATTAGGGAGAGATACCTCTATTAGACGTACAATCGGCTTACACAGCGCTCCCAAACAAAGCAATGTTTATGGTCTGAGGGTTGTAGCTTTTGCAACATCATTAAATATGACCATAACTAGCACATACTTTCCTTAAAATGATATTCACAAATATACATTGAAATCACCCGACAGACGCATATATAACTAAATTAACCACATGATCATTGATAAAAGATTCAGATCTAGTATTTTGGATGTAAGAAGTTATCTAGGAACAAACTGTGATTTTGATCAATTTTTGGTCATTGTGAAATTCAGATTCAAGTTAAAAAACGCCAAATAACTAAAAACAGAGTGCCAATGTTCAATCTAGAGAAACTTAAGGAGGAAAGGGGAAATCTAAAATACATTGAGGAAAAATACCAGCCTGGAAATACCAAAGAGCGGTTAAAGAATTCGAAGATGTGACATTAGAAAAAATAATGATACCTATAAACTGGTTTAAGAACTATAAGCCCTCGGTTCAGAAAGGATACCAGTTTAAATTTTAAGATACATTGAATTAGAACTGCACACAATTATATATGGATAAATGAATTAAAGAAAAGCTACCTGTAGAATGGAATAAAGACATAGTCATTCCAGCTTATAAGAAACTAGATAAGATGAGCTGCGATAATTATGGAGGAGTATAATTATGAATACTGTGTATTGTAGTAGAATACAATAAAATAAAAATAAAAAAGGATAAGAAAGGGGGGCTCAAGTTGGGGGCCAATTTGTAGTAGAATAAAATAATGATGAAGGGTAGACTTTGAGATGTGTGCTTGTGCTTATTCAATTTTTACTCTACTACTAAATAATCATGTGTAGGATACTAATAAGCACGTCGTGTTCGGAATAGATATATGATTAATACCCCCTATCTTGTTCAAAGCAGGACGATGTTCTTTGTCGTAGATATTCTCAATAATTCGTATGGTTGATCGTGGTTTGATGCTCGATATTATTGCAAATTCTATTTATTAACTACTTCCACAATTGAACATATTTAATACTATGTGACCTGAGTCTCAGTGATTTGTTTTTTTAAAGTTAAATAAATATACCTCAGGTTCTAGAGGATGGATATTAGAGGAAAAATAGGACAATACGCTGTAAGATATTATTGCTCGGCTGTTGACCCTTCCTCTTGACTTTAACGAAATATAATACACTTTTTGAATCTCAAGTATACTAATATACTCAGAATATAACAGCTTCAAGAGCGGACAGCGAACATTCCTAATTGGAACAACCTGGCGTAACTCAACACTTATTATATTCTGAATACACCCTAAAGTATTAAGGGAAGAAGAATATCGATGTATTCAAAATACAACAGTTTCAAGAGCGGTCAGTGAACATTCCTAATTGGAACAACCCGACGTAACTCAACACCCTCGTACAATGAATATATCCTATGCTTCAGGCTATGATGGTAATCAATCCTAAATAGTACCTTTTCTGAGATGATATGCTCGAGTCTTTGCGATGTTCT